CACCTTCCGATGACACGTTTCCAATCAATAATTCTATCTGCGAGGTTGGGCTCTACCGGTACACCAGCACCGGCCTGAACTCGAGTCGTGATATCGACGCCTGAGTAGAACAGTTTCCATCCATTGAGGTTCAGAGTTCAGTTCAGTTCAGAGAGCCTTGGCGTTTCATTGACGAATTCCAACAATGTCGAGTTGGTACTATATGGCCTCATGCATGTTGGTACTATATGGCCTCAACTGTCAACCTCATGTATGACCTCAACTAACTCTTGTTCTTTTTCTCTGAGTGAGGATGTGTTCCAATCTCCGACTTTTAGCTTCCACTGGTGGTGTCGTTCTCGTGGAGCCTTTTCTGACGTGCTATAATGGCATCGCGCTGACTGCCTACTTCATTCAGAACGGGTAGCGACTCTATTGCTGATTGGTATCTTCGTAGTCGTGCCGTCGTCAGCCGTTGTTGTGCTGTTATGCTCCCGACTGCCAGAGGGCGATGAGCAGCTTCTGATCGTCTACTTTTTGGGGCCTGCCCCAGTCTCCCAACAGCCGCGGTCATTGATAACCCGGACGACGATTGAGTTGCTCTAATGTTCGATGACGGAAACACAATGAGGGGCAATGGATAAGTTTTCCGGAGACTTCGCCGCCGTCTCCAACCGTCCTCGTTTCTCATCCGAGCTTGCGACTGGCAAGAGCAGAGTTTAAACATTTTCTTTTAATTATTAATTTACTTTCTTACTGAAAATGTGGAAAGGACATGAAATACGGTTTATTTATACGCAACCAAAGTAGTGTAGTCAGTGTGACGTGATCCAGTACGGACGTTTCAGTCCATGTCTCGTAGGTCATTGCAAGATAAAGAGGTTAACGTGATTAGCCTAAGAACTTTATTCATCTGGATCACTGTTAATCTGACATAGATGGAATTTTTGAGCAGTAGGAGGAACAACAAGGAAAGCCATCGTTTTGAATCATAAAACTGAGTTCTGAAGTCAACCTCTTTATCTTGAAGAAAGCGCGTGAGACCCGGGCCCGAAATATTGGCGCTGGTCAACCACCCGATTGCCCACATTGTTTGCGTTGTGTACAAATGAACCGGACTGTAGGCTGTTTCCAGTGTGACCACGAATACACCCGTGTTCGGTTACTGAAAATCTGTCACTATTTCCATATAGTTACGATTACGGTTGCTTTAAAATACAAGTAGTTTAATTGGAAAACCTGAGTTCTTGCAAGTGGAATGTTCAGACGAATGTTTTCCAACTGTAACCTCACCCCATTCTCGTCCTTGTCGGTAGCTTGCATCGTTTCTGACCCAGATGTCGGTGTACATCGTCGAAACGCCGCCTCATTCTGTGGATGCCAGCGCAGACGACGTACGGCGGCCATTGTTTCGCGGCAGCCTTTGTCATCTTCGCAAGGAGGAATGTTTTTTGCCGGCCGGAAGGCCCGGTTTCCAACAGCCTGAGGCGTCGTCAAAAACGCAAACTGTTTTCACGTTGCTCGAGGCGGTTCGGCTTTTTGCCTTAATAGACGTGTCGAAGCATTACCCTGATCATCAACGTTCGCAAAAAGGGCCGAAGTTATTCCGATGCTCCAATTGTCACGACGCAAGATGGCTATATCTCGCATTTTAGATTCGCAGCGACCGACTGTTACCGTTGTTCGAGCGATGCGTCCGTTCGTCGTGTTGCTGTGGTCGTCCGCGAGTGTCCTGCTGGGCTTCGACGTGGCCACTTGCGAGAGACACGAGCCACTGGTATACAGTTTCGATCCTCTGGACCCTGGTCGAGTGACCATCCACTGGAATCAGCTGATTCCGGTGACAAGGATCAACGACTTGTCGTCGCGCGAGGTCTACTACCAGATGGACAACGTGACTCATGTGCTAAGCGATGAGTTCGGCCACTGGCAGACACTGCTTACCGATGACAACGACGTGGGCAAGGTGGCCCGATTCGTTTTCATCAAACACCACCTGTGCCGAGAAAAGGAGTTTCGAATATCTTGGGTCGGCGACAAGAACGATTCGCATACGGAACATAAAGTGAGGCTGGGCTCTTCGCCAACCGCCTGGGCCGCTACTTTCGACGCGGACATTGCAAAGCCGGTGTACGATCAGCAGAAAAACGAGATCAGAATTGGCATCAAATGGAATGTGACCTCTAATCCACTGGACGAACGTCTCGTTGTCGTAAAACCTCCGTTTCCGTCGCTTCAGCTGAGGTCGTGCACAAACATCTTTTCCAAGTGGGTTGAGGAACCGTATTTCGATGAGAAAATCAGCAGCTTTGTGCTCGACCCTCAATACGCCGAAAGCAATTGCGACTTCGTCGTTTCGCTGAATGTCATGACGTACCACGCGGAGCACGAATGTAAAGAGCTGCATCGCACGTCCATTTTCAGCGGTCCCATTGTAAAGCTGGCGTGCAACGACGTGGAGCATTATCCCTGTGACGTAGACGCTTCTGCCGATATTTGCAAGTACCGATGTAAAGGAAAGGTGACCTCGGAGGCTCGTCGAGGAAGCCGTCCAGGAAGTGACCCATACGTTACCGTCGCTTGGGAGTTTCCTCCAGGGAAACCGATTACCTCGTACACGGTCAGGACATCGGAGGTGGATTTCATTTGGAACAACCACCCGATCGCAGAGTATAACACCACATTACAAAACTTTCGCTCAAACGTCACCAAAATGGAACTACTGCCATTTTCCAAGCTGTTGAACACGTTCTATACTTTTCAAGTGTGCGCTAACCTCGATGGGTGCTCCAGTGAGCCAGATTGGACGAAAGCTCCAAATTATCCCATTTTTGTGAATGGAATGATTATGTCTCTTCCGCCGCCACCGACTCCGACCCCAAGAACAACCAGAAGAACGACGAAAACCACAACCACCGCCGCCGCACGCTCTTCTACCATACGACAACGACCCGTTGCAAAAGCGGATCAATCTGCAGGACGTCTCGACGGCACCCAAAGGCAACCCCAATCCATTGCATCGCCACCGTCGCGCCCCATATCGTCGCTGACTACCACACCGCAACAAGAACGGACTCAAGCTGGAAACCCAAACAGCTCGATCAGACCCTCATCGATTCTGTTTACTGTCATTGTGTGCTATTTAATTTCTGTATTCTACTGAAACATTGAATACAACATCTATTTTTGGCAAAAATAAATCTCTTTATTTTCCGGTGTACGTTTGATTGGCTAAAGATGCTTTTACTCAATATTGCAACTTATCACCATATTTCTTCGATTGTACGAGAGGTCTGAACAGTAATGCGAAGCCATCAGTCATTAAATTATTTTATCCATCCACCTCTATCCATGGCTAGGCGTACATGGAAATTAAAAATTGGCCTTTCGAATGCGACTCAAGCGATACAAGTACAAGAGGATGCAAGAGTCATCAGTGGGGCTTTTGAGGGACTGACGAGGCTCGACAAAGTTGGGAACACGGCCATCTAATATAACCTTTTTTGTCAATCGCTTCTCCAAGTCGAGAAGTCACATTGTGCTAGTTTCAACGCAAGAGCAGGCGTCCAAAGGAAGTAATCCTAAGATTTGATCTCTTCGCAAACCCGCATAACAGGCTGCGCAAAGACTGACAAAAGGCCGGGAGATTCTAT